GTCATAATCAGTGGCACAGGGTCTAGTTGGAGGTCCTTCACTAGTGGTGTCCCCCCAGGTTCAATACTGGGCCCAGTATTGTTTACCTTATTCATCAATGGCTTGGATGAAGGAACAGAGTGTCTCCTCAGCAAGTTTGTTGATGACACAAAATTGGGAGGAGTGGCCAACACCCCAGAGTGCTGTGCAGCCTTTCAGAAGGACCTCAACAGATTGGAGAGATGGGCAGAGGAGAACCACCTGAAATTCAAAAAAGGCAAATGCAGGGTCCTGCACCTGGGGAGGAGTAAGTCCGGGCACCAGTAAAGGCTGGGGGCTGACCTGATGAGAAGCAGCTCAGTGGAGAAGGACCTGGGTGTCCTGGTGTCCATGAGCCAGTAGTGTGCCCTTGTGGCCAAGAAGGCCAATGGGAGCCTGGGGGGCATTAGGAAGAGCATTGCCAGCCGATCGAGGGAGGTGATCCTGCCCCTCTACTCAGCCCTCGTGAGGTGATATCTGGAGTGCTGTGTCTGGTTCTCTGTTTCTCAGTAAAAGAGAGACATGGAGATCCTGCAGTGGGTCCAGCAGAGGGCAACAAATATGATTAAAGGACAGGAGCATCTCTCTTACAAGGAAAGGCTGAGGGAGTTGGGCTTGTTCATCATCAAAAAGAGACAACTGTGAGGGACCTCATCAATGTATATAGGTATCTGAAGGGAGTGTGTCAAGAGGATGGAGCCAGGCTCTTCTCGGTAGTGCTGAGCAATAGTACAAGAGGCAATGGGCAGAAACTGATGGACAGGAAGTTCCTCCTGAATATGAGGAAGAATTTCTTTACTATATGGGTGACTGTGCACAGGAACAGATTTCCCAGAGAGGTCATGGATTCTCCTTCACTGGAGATATTCAAGTACCATCTGGATGCAATCCTGTGCCATGTGCTCTAGGATGACACTGCCTGAGCAGGGAGGTCAGACCAGATGACCCACTGTGGTGCCTTTCAACCTTACCCACTCTGTGATTCCCTGCTACTGCTGAGAAGCAAATTAGCTAGATTAGAACTCAGTTGAATGTGTTTATTCACACTACAATTTCATCGCTGTGTGTCATGCTAATATGTTCAGTCTGGTTTTCAGATAAGATGACAGTAGTGCCCAAAAACAATGAGACCAGTTCATATGTGCTGTATTTTATTTATACCATTGGAATAAAATGCAAATATATCCTCAGGATTGAGTATTTTTGACAAGGAATCAGGTTAAGAAAAGGCTCCATGATCCCACGGTCCTTTTCACAGTAGACTCCAAAAAATGTACCTCATTATAAGATACACCTTCCCAAGGAATCACAAGACATGAGAAATCAAAAGAGAATTCCTAAAAGCAAAAGCTCTCCAGCAGAAAATCAATTTCAGCTACTTTCACCTTGCCCCAGGGAAAGCAGCAGAGACACTAAGTGGGGTGTGGGAAATGTCTCATACATCTTCCTGGAGCTGTGCAAGGCAGACCTCCAGACGGGAGTTTTCTTTCCAAGACAGCTCTGCTCTAATTAGGGACTTCAGCAAAATTGGTATGTTGCAGTTCCAAACAGTGTCTGGATGATTCCCATATCAAATTTCATTGGTTGAAAAAAAACAGTGTCTTTGTCCTTGTTCTAATTGACAGCCTTACAAATGCAGGTGGACTGAGGGATGAAGGTCAAATTGAGCTTATTGTGCTTAGTAGGGCAAGGAACAAAATTTAGCAGAAAGTCACACCCAGGCAAAAATATTCTTTGGTGGTTGTATTTTTTCCTGACCATCATGTTTCCCTTTCATGGGTCTTAGCGCATTTTTGCTTGTACCTTCAGAAAGAAAAGAAAGCAATTGCCTTTAAATAAAACTGTTATATGAGGGACTTTCCTGTAACTCATAATGTACTGATGTATCAGACAGAATCTAATTTATAGACTTAACAATCTATATTACTGGACATAAAATTAATTTTCTGTATAAGAAAGTGCATCATACTCCTCAGTCAACCTTTTCCAGAGGCAGACTCTCAGTCTCTATCTGGTTCCTATAGTTTTCAGTATTTAGACCTCTCTTGGTAATGTGGTATTGTTAAGGCTGGTCACCAAGTTCTAAAAAAACTCACATGTTCCCCCTTGGAAACGAAGTCCAACTGACATTTCTCACTGAAGATTTTGACAAAAATCATTTGTGCATTCCAGAGAGAAGGCAAAACAATTTTCCTCTTTTTGGGTCAGTATAAATCTGTGTCTTAAAGTTATTCCCCTGCTTCCCATCTCTCATTTCTTTACTGTCCTGTGCTTCAGACTCAGACTGTATCTTCTGCACTGACCTATGCTGCTGTGGTACAGCCTGGAAACAGTTGTGGCAGTTCACCCTTAAAAAGCAAAGGCATCCAGAACTCTTCCCTGGGAGATACAACTTGTGGGATGGCAGCCAGCTTGACGAATATAGACTTAATAATACAGAAAGAAAGAAAGAAAAATATGGAAAATTCCAGTTTGTCTTAGTTTTGGGGGGGAATTATAGGTGAAAAGTTTCAAATCTTAAAATCTTCCTTCCTATGTGTGAGGAAGGCAACTGAATATGTGAACTTGGCATGAGATGGGCATTTTTTGTCTCTGGTCAACTCTAAACCACAATTTTAAGTTATAACATGGTAGAAAGTCACTTTGTGCTTCACTTCACACTTCTGTTGGTCCATGTGTTTTCTAAATGGGCTCATTTTCTCTGCAGCTGTTTGTCAGCACAGCCCAGTTAAGTCACTGCAACCTGCAGCACTGCAGTAGTTTACCTCAGTCAGATCTGCATCCCTAAACTCTAATGAATACTCCAGCAGCAGTGGAAATATAGTCATCTTTATTGAAAATGAACACCTCCACAGATCATACGCCATCCTTAAAAAGAATCATAGAATCACAGAAGAGAATAATAGGTTAGGTTTGGAAGGGACATTAAAGATCATCTGGTTCCAACACCACTGCCATGGGCATGGAGACCTTCCAGTAGACCAGGTTGCTCAGGATCTCATCGAACCATGCCTTGAACACTTTTTGGTACGGGGCATCCACAATTTCTCTGGGCAACCTGTTCCAGTGCTTCACCACCCTCTGAGTAAGAATTTATTCCTAACATCTAGTCTAAACCTGTCCTCTTTCAGTTTAAAACCTTGTCCTGTCACTATCTGCCCACACAAAAGTCCCTCTACCTCCCATTTATAAGTCTTCTTAAGATACTGGAGGGCCACAATGAGGTCTCCTCAGAGCCTTCTCTTCTCCAGGCTGAACAATCCCAGCTCTCTCAGCCTGTCTTTGTAGGGGAGGTGCTGCACCCCTCTGATAATTTTTGTGGACCTCCTCTGGATCTGCTCTAACAGGTCCATGTCTTTCTTGTGCAGAGGATCCCAGACCAGGTGGGGTCTCAAAAGTTCAACTCATAGTTTATTGCAATTTAAAATGGGATCACCTGTGAGGCTGCACTGCTTGTCCTCCTGCATGCTGGCCTGACTACTCACTGGTCTTTCACAGAGCATCCAATATTGAGATTTGTGATGATTTCAGGTCAACTAACCTGTCAGAGGCAGTAGCATCTTATACTACTGTATAGCAAAAGAAAAAGGTATCACTTAATGCCTGTGGTTGCACAAAAACGTTACCTGAGTATGGTTTAGGATGACTGCCAGAGCAAATCATGGCCAGTGCTGAAGAGCATGGAGAGTCCTGCCAATTTGCTCTGGGTGGTAGGAGGTGGTGGACTAATACCTAGAGCTAAATCTGGGGGGAAAAAGAATGACCTTGAAGCAGCACAGAAGCTCTACTGAGCAGGTGTATAAGGGGATTTTCCATATCATCTCACAAATCTACCCAGTATCATCACCAGCTGTGCTCAATCTCTGATGCTCCAGAGGAAGTCGAGAGAAAGCCCCGGGACACTCTGTGCTAATTGAGGGGGGAAGGAACCTGCCTGGGTCCCAAAGCCAAAGCCCTGAAGGAAGAGACCTGATTAAGCTCTGCTTTACATGCTGAGCTGTAAGGGTGAGGAGCACACACAGGATGAGGATGGCTTCATCAGAGTCTCCCTTCACAGCAGAGAGACAGGCACCCCTCCTCTCCCTGGAAACGTATTTGCACACAGGAGCAGCAGTCATCCCACTATTTATGCAATGCAAAAAAATCCAAGGCTCTTCCCTGACTGACATTTGTTAGATAAGATCGTAGGTACACAATACCCATCACAGTATACAATAACCTTTAAAGACATGCCAGCAACCTCCCCTTCTCTTACGCACGCCAGGCTGGCAGAGCGGGTGGGATGCCGTAGCAAACCCCTCGCCAGCAGGACGCTACCTGCATGCTAATGCCGAGGGTGTTTGTGCTCAGCCTGGCAGCGAGAGCGAGTGGGACTCCGGCAGTTTCCATGGTGCTGTCATGGTGCGCTCTCCCTACACCTTCACTTATCAGCATTTCCCACCCATCCTCCTCCCTGTAATATGCTGCTTGCTCACCCTGAAAGGTCAGCTATTGTAATGATGATTTTAGCAGGGGGAGGCAGGGAGACCGAGGGGTGAAAAGGTGAGCTCCGAGCAGCGATGTGCGTGGGAACCGGGGGCTTGCCCTACACTGCACAATGAGAAATTAGAAAGCTTCCCCTCAAGGGAGCGGTGCTCATCAACCCCCTCTCACTTCCCAGGCCAGCCAAGTCAGATGCCCTGATGGAGTTAAAAAATGTTCGTGTGAAGTGCCTGGAGAACTGATTTTAAATCATCGGCATCTCATAGGCAATTGATGCATCAGTGCTGGAAGGGCAAAGAGACTGCCTCTGCCAACAGAGGAAACTGATACAAACGTTTTCAGGTTTCTTTTCTTTTCCCATCTCCCTCCTGCCCCCTCCCAGCAAGCCCAGTGCTCGTTTGCAGATGGAGAGCGGCAGATTCTCCTCTGGCTTTCACCCTATTGACTGCTGGGCTAAAGCACTGCATCTCCTAACTGCCTTCCTTTCTTTCTTTCTATAGGACAGCTTTCCTGCACGTTTTGGAGGAGTCCATTTTGTCAATCAGCCCTGGTACATCCATGCCCTCTACACACTAATCAAACCATTCCTCAAAGACAAGACAAGGAAAAGGGTAATTAGATGGGGGCACGGGGGTGGGGGGTGGATAAGAAATTGCAGACCCGGAGTAGCCGAGTAGCTGCCTGCTTGCTTTTCTTCTTTTTCTCTCTACATTTTCCATATGATCTCAGAGAATTCCTG